GATTTTCGACGCCTTAATGAACTAACAGTGGGAGACGCATTTCCTATTCCTAGGATCGACGAGATTTTGGACCAGTTGGGAAGATCCCGATATTACACCACTTTGGACCTTACTAGTGGATATCATCAAGTACCCATCCGTCCTGAGGACTGTCCGAAAACGGCGTTCTCCACAGATAAAGGCCATTATGAGTTCCGAAAAATGCCTTTCGGTCTATGTGGCGCGCCCAGCACTTTTCAACGACTAATGAACACAGTGCTGTGTGGTCTAAATGGCATTAAAGCTTTTGTATATCTCGATGATATTATTATTTACGCAACAGATCTAAAAGACCACGAAAATAAACTCCGAGAAGTCCTAATCAGATTATATAAAAGTAATCTCACCTTACAACCGTCCAAATGTCAGTTTTTACGTAAGGAAGTAATTTATCTAGGACATCTTATCACTGAATCGGGAGTCAAACCAGATCCTTCGAAAATCAGTTGTGTTGCTGAGTATTCGCCTCCATGCAATACGACACAAATTAAACAGTTTTTGGGTTTATCAGGTTATTATCGCCGTTTCATTGCAAACTACAGTAGTATTGCGAAACCATTAACTTCTCTTTTGAAAAAGAATGTTCAATTCACTTGGACTACAGAATGTCAAAAGTCTTTCGAACGACTTAAGAATAGTCTAATCACACCACCTGTCTTGCAGTATCCAGATTTCGAGAAGCCATTTGTGCTCACCACTGATGCAAGCCGTTATGCCATTGGAAGTGTTTTATCTCAAGGGATACCACCAAGAGATTTACCAATAGCCTATGCTTCGCGAACGTTAAATGCAGCAGAACAGAATTACACAACAACCGAACAAGAACTTTTAAGTATTGTTTGGTCTACTAAACATTTTCGTTCATATTTACTAGGTCGCAAATTTCAAATTTATACCGATCATCAGCCACTAAAATGGTTGTTTAACGTCAAAGAGCCAGGCTCTAGACTCATGAGATGGAAGTTAAAACTGGCTGAATATCAATATGAAGTAATCTACAAGCCCGGTGCGGCTAATACAAACGCAGATTCCCTCAGCAGAATAGGACAAGTAATGCTATCTCGATCAGTTAGTCCTCAAAAACACATTACTTTTGACGAATATCAAGACATCGTCACCACGTCAGTCATACTAAATCCTGCGATACGCGAGGAGGAAGGACAACTTTTCGATGTTTCTCCAGATGTACATCTCGCCGTTTGTATTTCAAAAGATCTGAACATGAGACAAGGAATGGCCCTTTTGTTTAACCGCCGTTTCCCGAACTCGGATCGGCTCCGCTCTCAAAATCTCCAAGTGGGGGAGGTCGGCTATGTTAAAACCGACACTCGCTACATCTTATATTTAGTAGTCAAAAATAAGTTTTGGAATGAACCTACAGCAGAAGATATGTACAGAACACTGCAATATCTTATTTCTTTATGTAAAGAACTTAAAGTCGAAACATTGGCTATGCCTCGTATTAACAATAGAAGCGACAACTCGGATTGGCCCAATATCCGCACAATGATTCGGTTTTTATTTAAGGACGCCAATATTAAAGTTTTGCTTTTCAATGAATATGAACTAACCGAAGAAGATAAACAAGCGATCATCGCCGAACATCACGATAGTCCATTGGGAGGACACCGAGGTGTTTCACAAACTATCCAACGTATTCGATTACAATTTACTTGGGAAAACATCAAAGCGGATGTGGAAAACCACATCTCTAAATGTCGTTCATGCCAAATTAACAAGCACGACTCTCATAACTCAAAACAGCCTATGGTAATTTCTACAACAGCTACGGAAGCCTTTGAGAAAGTATTCATAGACGTCGTTGGGCCGCTACCCCGCACGGATACGGGTAATGCCTACATCCTGACAATGCAATGTGATTTAACTAAGTTCTCAATCGCTGTGCCCATGTCAAATCACGAATCAAACACAGTAGCGTACCATTTCGTAGTGTCATTTGTATGTATACATGGTCTACCTCTTTCCCTAGTCAGTGATCAAGGCACCGAATTCCTCAGTCGCGTGCTCAGCGAGACGTGCAAGCTACTTAAAATTTAAAAGTGTAATACTTCTCCATACCACCCTCAAGCTAACGGTGCTCTAGAAAGAAGTCATCGTACCCTGGGCGAATATTTACGCCACTATGTCGACAAGGACCAGCGTAATTGGGACCAGTATGTACCCTACGCTATGTTTACATACAATTCTTCGGTCCATCAATCTACTAAGAAACAACCATACGAATTGCTATATGGGCGTACTTTAGTCGTCCCTACGTCTCTCAGCAGAGCAGTGGAACCCCGGTACAACTATGATGATTTTCATGCCGAACTAAAACAAAAACTCCAACTGAGCCAAAGCATAGCACGTGAAAAGCTCTTAAAACAGAAGCACAAAACCAAGGTTACGTATGATCAAACCATTCACCCCGTAGATGTGCATGTGGGCGATCAGGTCTTACTTAAGGACCATGCCCGAAAGGGAAAATTCAGTGCTAAATGGCAGGGCCCATTCGTTGTGATCGAAGCCCACGAAAATGAGAACGTAACGATTCAAAAAGGACGACGTAGTGTTAGGGTCCACAAGAACCTGTTGAAAAAATTTGTGAATTAAACCATCTTTTTACCAACCCCCTGTTGGTCGGGGTATAGAATAGGCCATCGGTGCGTCCTGCCTGTCGTAAAAGGCGACTAAAGGTGACGGGGAGGGATTTTTATCTCCTAAACTTTTCGATTTATCTCTGGAATCGTTCTTCCCATCTTTTTACCAACCCCCTGTTGGTCGGGGTATAGAATAGGCCATCGGTGCGTCCTGCCTGTCGTATAAAGCGACTAAAGGTGACGGGAAGGAACTACAATGTCGATTAAACGTGATGTGTATCGTCATTGTAGAGCCTTTTCCATTTTTCTAAGATGACTATGTCATTCATTAATTCGTTTACTACTTCATTTCCTAAATCATTTACTATCTCTTGTATTAATCTGTTTAATACTTTGTTTACTAACTCATTTACTATTTCATTCAATATACGATTTACTAATTCGTTCAGTTTTTGACTTGCTATTTCGTTACTATGTGATTTAATATTTCTATCTTATACATGATTGGATCAATACGATTTATTTGGAAACAGTTCCGCACGAATAAAATCATAAGCCTCTCGCTATACTGATCGTTAAGTTTTCAAGTTTAATCCACAATTCACTGGATGACACACCTGTTTTTTCAATAATTTCTGGAGGAAGATATATTTCTTTTTTTTATTTTTGTCTTTGTCCTTCATCTTTCAGAAAACTGACTTCATATAAATAATTTGATTTGTTGTCATTACCTTATCCATGTTTTCAAGGTTACTAAAAGTATTTTTGGATAACCCCAGACCTTTTTAACATGTGGCTACGTGTATACTAATCGGTTACAGCAACCTAAGTATTACAACCTTAAGAAACTTTCTTCTCCTATTATCCTTATCCTAGCATCAGTAACAGCCACTCTTATAGTGGTCACCATTTGGTAGGTTAATATTTGTCATGTAATTATTTTTAAGAGAATTTATATGAATGGGTAAATTGTTTTGGAAAAATTAGTATTACTCAATCATTACTGTATCAAACTTCTGTATCCCGTAGACGTAAGTTTAGAACTAAGATACTATCAACAAAGCGCATGTGGCGGTATTGTAACTAGCGCACCCGTAAGTTAAGATATTGTACAAAACTAGTTTAAGTTAGATTTAGTCGCAGGGACTGCTCAGTTTCACTCCGGGGGTATGTTGTGAACTGGCTTTTTGCTGCCTAATTGTAATTATGTAATTTAATAGTATATATATAATAATCATGGGAACGGAAGCCTCTATTGTCTTGTATAAAGTATTTACCAGGCAAGAATCTAGTTCTTCTAGAACATTCGATGCTTGCTCAGCCTTTTTCAATGCATTGGGCCTACGGCCGCCGCCGCCTGAGGCGACGCGCCAGTAGGAGTCAGCTACTCGTTCAAGAGTCATACAGTTCATAGGGTCGAACCTGGACGACTCTCCACTGAATCTTTTGTTAATTTGTTCACTGAATCTTTTATGTTAATTTGCTCACTGAATCTTTTATGTTAACTTGTTCACTGAATCTTTTATATTAATTATCAACTCATTAAAATCGATAAGTTAATTACAAGTGTAAACATATTTTTAAATATAATAAACTAATTATCAAACGCATTGTCTCTTCATTTTGTCTACCGTACCAACCCGGTCACAACAGTACCTACACGCAAACGGTTAAACGTGTGTATAGTACGCGTCGAGTCTGCGCGTTTGATATGTCACAACCCTATATACCGGCGTGTCAATTCACCCCGACGCTGTCGTTTAAATTTAAGTCGATATTTCGTAAATTATGAATACCCCTTCTATTTAGTTCCACTACACATTCCAGACATTCCGACAGTCGCTGTGTTTGATTAAAAAAACCACCGAACACGTGCATAACGCGTAAGCGCAATATCTCACAGCATTACTACAAGGTTGTTTGTTGTTTACAGCATTGACTGTGTGTGTGTGTGTACTACTATATACCCTTTTTTTTGAAACATTGAAATACAATATACGGTTTATATTGATGCGTACTATTTGTACAGTACAAATAGCCGTCGCTTGTTGATTTTTAAATTAATGTGTTAGGTATAGTAAAATAAATCTCATTTTTGAACACATATCTATAGCAAATGTGACAATTGAGACTGCAATATTAATGCAGTATCCATCCGAGGTGGACGTCAATCGCACGAAATATTTACCACGTATTTACGAGTGACCTGTACACCAAACACAATGGACAGTGTAAGCGGTAGTACAACCATTGAAACGTTGTGGGAGCATATTAAACAGATGGACGCTTCACGTATCGGATTATTTTTTTGTATAACGGCTGCAACAACCTTTTTTATTTTGCTGCATTTCACATAAACCGTTAACAGCAACAGATATCAGATTGTAAACAGTAGCGACAGCGATAGTGGATACGAAGATGCGGATGACATTGACAATTTAAAAAATAATTTGTTTGTAATGACTAATCGTTTGGACGCTCTCGGTCGAGATTACATAACAATCGAAGATCGTGTTTTTATATTGGAAAAACGTATCGAAACAGTAGAACGAACATGCATATGAATGTCAACGTGTGTTATTTAACCAAAATGCTGACAAACAAAATAAAATAAATTAACTGATATTGTACTACAAATATAGTTACATTTTTACAAATGTAGAAACTGTACTATACTAATACACTAATAGATTTTTCAAAAAATCTAAGAGAATTGTAGTATTTATACGTGTTGATATCTACCAAAAAAATCAGACCATGATAATTTTTTATACAAAGTTAACAAAATGTTTTTTTTTTTTGGTCGTGTTTTTTACACACAAATCATTTTGGTTCGTGTTAAGGTCCTTCTAAAATTAATTTGCTCAGTTTAATCATTCCCCTGTTTATGACTTACGTTGTTGTTCGGTGTACGGTCATACATTTACAATCGAAGTGTATTTGATCCAAAATGGATAGTGGAAAAGAAACGTATAATGCGTATGAAAATCGTCTCAATGAAAATTCAGGTAAGAAATAAAAACTGTATGATATGACAAACGAAACTAATTTTACGTGAAAATACTTTTCCATTTTTCTCGTTTAGGATATGATGTTTGTGGATTTTACTGTTCGACGTCTAATGATCAGCAGACTAGAATTAAACTCCCTAAACACAAAGAGTTTGCCGATTATAACACTCGTTTAAAGACTTTTGAAAACTGTCCAAAAAAATTGGAATCAAAAATATCAAGACTTTGTGATGCTGGATTTGTATACATAGGTATGGGACTATTAAGTATTGAATGCATTATTATGATTGGTACATTTATTCAAATTCATTATTTATAACACATCGTTCAATAATGTGTGTGACTGACACATAGATGGCTCCACTAATACCAAATCAATATTTTTTTTTCGAAAGTGTGAACCTTTTTAGGCTTACTGTCAAAATTATATGTCAATCCGACCATTAGTTTACAAGTTACAGTGCTTTAAGTGACGCTACTTTTGAGTTTTCAAAAAAAATGAATTCAAAGCAATTTCGTGTTTTGATTTATCATTGCTTTTAAAAAAAAAAAAATACTGTTCAATCCCAGGAATGGCTTAAAAAACATTATTCGAACTCTGCTCCATCAAAAAGAACCATTTGTTATTGGTATGCCGAATTCAAACGTGGTCGTACAGACACCGATGACATTCCATCTACTGGACGGCCAAATGACGCTGTTATTCCGGAAAACGTTGAAAAAACACTGAAAATTATTATGGGCGATCGAAAAGTGAAGTTGCTCGAGATAGTTGACATCCTAAAGATATCAGCAGGCAGTGTACACACCATAATACACGAACATTTGGGTATGAAAAAGGTGTTTTCCAAATGGGTGCCGCGTTTGCTCACACCGGAGCAAAAACAACAACGAATCGATGATTCAAAGGCTTGTTTGGACATTTTTAAGCATAATAAGTCGAAGTTTTTGCGTCGGTACATCACAATGGATGAAACATGGATCCAACATTACACTACGGAGTCCAATCGGCAGGCTGCTGAGTGGCATGCAACCGGTGAAAGCCGCCCAAAACGTCCAAAGGCACAAACATCGGCTGGCAAGGTTATGGCCTCTGTATTTTGGGATGCTCACGGTATAATATTCGTTGATTACCTCGAAAAGGGTCAGACCATCAACAGCGACTATTATATAAAGTTATTGGAGCGTTTGAAGGCCGAAATTTCCAAAAAAAGACCGCATTTGGCGAAGAAAAAAATCTTGTTTCACCAAGACAATGCACCGTGTCACAAGTCGATGAAAACGATGGCAAAAATGCATGAATTGGGCTACGAATTGCTGCCACACCCACCATATTCTCCAGATCTGGCCCCCAGCGACTACTGGCTTTTCGCAGATCTCAAAAGGATGCTCCGTGGAAAGAGATTTGGCTCAAATGAGGAAGTCATCGCTGAAACTGAAGCCTATTTTGAAGGCAAAGAAAAATCGTTCTACAAAGGCGGTATTGAAAGATTGGAAAAGCGTTGGAATGATTGTATCTCCCTAAAAGGGGACTATGTTGATGAATAAAAACGAATTTTGGCAAAAAAATGTGTTTTAATTAGTTAGTCACACACATTATTGAACGATGTGTTATGTATATATAATTTTTAGGTAATGGACAAAATGATCAAATGTTATGTTATTGCTGCAGTCAAGGTTTGAAAGATTGGGATGATGAAGACAACCCATGGGTAGAACACGTACGTTGGTCTCCTAGCTGTACTCATGTATTGTTATGTAAGGGACAGTTATTTATCCAAAATAATAAAATAACGAAATAAGACTACTATTATTTGTTATTCTTATATAGTATTGTAGTTTGAAAAATAAATAAAGCTTTTTAATATTGTATCTTGTGTGTTATATGAAACTGTATAAAAGATACAGTGTGTAATAAATAAAAATATCAATTTTCGATTTAGTAAAAAACATAATATACTACTAAATTTATAATTTGTATAATATAAGAGGGTTTTTGTATTCACAAACGTTCAAATCTACAAAAAAAAAAAACAGACACGTGTGACTTTATCAGCTTTATTGTGTTCGAATTATGTGTATATGTGTATTTATTTTCTTACTTAAATGAAAATTAACAAAAATATTGCTAATCTCGCTTGTTTTTTCTTTTACACTCAAACCCTTACATCCAGTAAATATTCTATACGTTTTTTATCGTTAAAATACGTTTTACTTTGCTATCTACAACATTGTGTAAAATAAACAATAATATCCATGTAAGCTATTTAGTGATCCCCACTAGTAAGATATTGAATTCCTAGGGACTTTTATCCCAAACAACTGACTATATTGTGCCTAAAATATAAATTTTACTATATAACTGTAAAAATAACCCTTTATCTGTTCATTCACTTTTTGGTGTTTTTATGGTTCTTTTCATCTATATCTACAACTGTGTTTCACGGCTATTCCTGTGCATTTTTCAACAGTTATTAAATTGTAAGTAAAATTTTTAAATTGTTAAAATATCTTTTACGTTCAATGCATCTATTTATTTTTAATAATCTATATTACTTATAAATTTCAAAAAGTTTTTTCATTAATTAAATTTGTTTACTATAATTAAAAAGAAAAAAATATATATATGGTACTTGTTGCATTGAATGATAAAATGACGTTATTGATTACATTTGTTGTGCAAATAAAATTTTCATTCATCTTTTTTAATAGTAATTTATTTGTTTTTTAACCCTTTCATGTATTTATTTATTTTAAAAATCGATAACCTTATGAAAATTTGCCAAAAAATTAATTTATTATTTACATTTTTTTAGCTTCGATGCGAAGCTGAGAAGGTATTGGTTTTACTAAGATGTGTTTTTTTTTTTTTTTTTTTTTTTTTTTTTTGGGGGGAAAAAAAAAAA